ATATAGATCTTAATATGTTGTCGGCGAATATTGGAGTGCTCGCCGCGGTAGTCCTTCACGGCCCCCTCGGCATCGTCGATCTCCCTCGCCTGCCAGGCCAGAGGATTGCTGTTAAGGACCACCGCTTTGATGAAGGCGATCCAGCGTCGGTAGCAGGTAAGCCTGCCGCACGGGTTTTTCGCGATGGCAGCGGCCGCTCTTCGCTCCCCGGCCCGTTTGGTCTCCTTCCATCCGCCCCTCAGCTCATGGTCGCTGGGAGGTGGCCCCCAGTCGTGCCTCCTCCTGACGGAGTGGATTTTCCACGGGCGTGACGATGACGTTACTGATCGTGTTGGTGATGTGCTCGTTGTAGCTGTTGTTGTAGGTATGGCCGTCGTCCTTCTTTTTGGGCGTTTTTCACCCCCTTTTTCGGGTTGGGCCTTGCCCTTTCCTTTGCTGTTATTGCCATTGCACTTCTGGTTGTTGCTGGCGGGGTACTTGTTGTCGATCCTCCCCTTTCTGTCCTGGTCGTTGCCCTGCCCGTTGAGGTTCTGGCTCCAGGACTTGTCTGGGTGATTGTCAGCCCGCTGGTCCGTCCATTTGTGGTTTTTCAAGCGCTCGAACCCTGCACCGATGGTTGATGTAGCGGGCTTCAGCGCTGTAGCTCTGGATCGCGGGCGGCCCGATGCTGATCTCCACAATTGTTGCGCAGATCCCGATCCGATCGCGGCTGCTCCCCCTGAAGTCGCCATGGCTGGAGTTTGAGGTGGATGCCGAGGTGACTGCTGGGCGCTGTGGTGCGCGGCGAGGAACTGGCGTGGTGGATGCCGTGGTCAAACACTTCTCGTGCAGCGGCGACTCGTAGCAGTACTCGCGTTTGCGTTCGGTGTTCGCGTAGCCGACGGTGCCACGATGGATTCGCCGACGAAGTCGTGGTGTCCTGAGGGTAAGAGGATGTAGTCGACAAGGAGTGTGAAAGGTATGGTTCGGAAATGGACGGATGGTGAATGGACGGTGTTGCAATCGAGGCTGGCCCCCTAGGGTTGGCACACTGCCGCGGGCTTCAAGGCCCGAGGCTTCCTCCCCCTTCCTCCTCCTCCTCCTCCGATTGTTATCAGTAGTAGTAGTAGTAGTATTATTATTATTATCATTATTATTATTATTATTATTACTATTATTATTATTATTATTATTAATCCTCTTCCTCCTCCTCTTCCTCCTCCTCCTCTTCCTCGTCCTCCTCGTTCTCAGCCTCCTTTTCCTCTTCCTCCTCCTCCTCCTCCTCCCCTCCCTCCTCATCCTCCCCATCCTCCTCCTCCTCCTCCTCCCCGTCCTCCTCCCCGTCCTCCTCCTCCTCCTCCTACCCCCTCTCTTCTTCCCTCTCCTCCTCCCTCGCATCCTCCATGTCATCCTCCGTCTCATCCTCCCTGCGCCGCGCGCATTCGTTTCAAAAATTCGCAAGAGCTTCACGGATTGAGGGTGGGTCGTGTTCAAAATGTGACTATGACATTATCGCCGCGCACCTTCGCCATTAAAAACATGCAAGAGCTTCACGGAGTGAGGGCGGGTGGTTTCCAACATGTGCGGTTCAGGATCGTCAAGACGCAACAGTCAGGTTGATCCGTTGCGCTGGAATCCCGAGAACAATGTTGTGGCACGCTTCAGGGTCTTCAAACGGTTGCCTTCCAACAAGGCAGTTCCATTAGTGGGAATGAACTGGGGTGTGTGAAGAGAGAGCTTGGCAGGAGGGTGCATCCCAACATATTGATGGCTATTGGATGTATGCTGGTCCGCCTCCTCCGAATCCTCCCCCTATCCTTATTACTGGCACTATGATTAGCAGCTGTAGTAGTATTAGTATCGTTCGTACTCTCCAAAATTACAGCATGTGTAATGTATGTGTGCATGTAAGTGTAATCAGCGGTCGTAGTAGCACTACTAGTGTTAACCATATTACGACTAGTATTCCGATTACGACTGGCATTAATAGTACGACTACGCTTACGACGCATGGTCATACTAATCGTATCAGCGAAACTGCTGTTACTAGTAACAACAGCCATAACCATAATAAGGGTATTACTACAAGTGATAATACTAGTGATAGTGTTATTGTTATTGGTGAAATAAAAACTTGCACCATCACTATTGATTAGTGGTGTGATGGTCCGTACCATCCATAATCTTACGAGTGGCATGCGTATTGCTAGCGATACGCTTTTTTGTTCCGAGTAATAATAGTGCCAGTGTTCGCCTCACTAATACTACTGTGAGTACTGTTATGATTGCTCGTATTACGTGCCGTACGAATAGCATCGTCATTCATTGTATGTTGTTCTTGGTAGTCTTGGTACTATGAAGCGTAATATCAATATTCGTAATACGTGTTACTGAGCCTGGCATGCTTAGTTCTATGATTAGTAGTACGACACATATCACTACTAGTGGTGTTGTATTGGTGTGATTCGACATAATATGTGTATCATGGCTCTTCGTAACACTCAGCTTACTCGTCTGACCGGTATTACTCTTACTATGTTTCGTAAGCACCGTCGGCACAATAGTATGGTTATTATTTGTATTACTAATAGTACTACGATCCGTACTATTATCCCTAATTTTTCTAATACTAATAATAATAATAATGATGATGATAATAATGATAATAGAAGTAGAAATAGAAATATGATTCCGCCTCCTCCTCCTCCCGAGATCTGCCAGGAGGCAACTCGACCTGCCAAAGATCATTGATCGAGCGACCCAGGGCTCTCACAGACGCCTCCTGGGCCATTGGGAGATCCAATTCACCACGGGTGGTGGGGAGCCGAACAAGGGGCTGGCCCTGGCGTCCTGAGGGAAGTCGGGGAGGAGCGACCACGAGTCCGTGAGCCGGCTGAGTCCCACATAGGGAGCTCGCGAGGACTACGCGATAGAGAAACCAGGCTCACAGAAAGCCACGCGGCCCTGCCCGAGGGGAAGCTGACCGAAGGCATGCTCCACAAGGCACAGCGTCAAAAACCTGGGAGGGTCAGCCCCCCCAGTCTTCACGAGCAACCTGTCAGCTGGCCATCCTTCGGGCACCCATTCCCCGAGCATCCTCGGCTTCGATGATCCAGGATGCTCCTCGATGGCCCTCTCCGAGAAGCAACGCACACTTCCGAACCATGCCAAGCAAGTGGATCAGGCGCCTCATGTTGTTCGGTGTAAGAGCAGGGCGGCAAAAGGGCTCGCGGCGGGAGACCTGGCCTCGAGATGGCCCAAACTCGAGGGCGGAGGGGACGAGCCCACCGCCCACAGAATCCAACATGATGCGTCAGGCCCCCAGGTGAGAGGGAGGGTCGGATGAGCGGCTGCACACAGCTGGCCATCCTGAGGCCAAGAGGCCAGACGCGGCCACGCAGCGAGGAAAGTGCCCTGGGGCGGGGCCGAAACGGGTGCCCTGGGGCGGGGCCGAAACGGGCTCCACGCAGCAGGTTTCGCAACCCCCTGGTCTGGGTCGAGGGCTTCGGCCCGCAGGCCGAAGGGATGTTTGGGCACTGCACGCCCCACCCTCTGACCGAGGAGGAGGGGGCGCTCGAGGCTCGGTCAGGGGCTCTCCTGGAGGGGAAGGTCCCTCACCAGACCTGGGGAGATATCTTCATTTTTCGGCGGTGGGCAAACCTCCCTGTAGTAAACCTCCCTTTAGTGAAAACGGCCTGGGACCGAAACCGACGGACCTGGACTCACAAAAATGACGGCCGCGACGCCCTCACGCGAACCGCAAACGCCCACTTCGCTGATCGGCGTGTCAGGGTAGGAGGTCTGTGCACCCCGGATTTTTGGAGCGCATTCTTCATGGTGCACGAGCGCGTTCCACTACTCGCAGTCACTACTCGCAAATGGTCTGGATCCGCCGCGAGGGATCTACGATAAATCACATCGAAGCAGACATGTGTTTTTCGGACGTTTGCGAGCAGGCACTTTTCGAGTAGTGGAACGCGCTCGGCGAGGGGGGACGGGAGGGAGCATAACGCAGCGCCCCCCCCCCCCCAGCTGGGGTGCCAGACGCTCTGTGCGGCAGTGCCGGGGGGACGAACTGATGGGGGGCAGCGTTACGCTGCGGGGGGGGGGGGAGGGGGGAGGCAAGTTAGGTGCGCTCGCGTCAACATCTGACGTCCTACCCCTCCCTCCCATCCCTTACCATGGCGCTGATTTTCTCTAACCGCGAACGCGTGTCGTAACGGACCTGTGGCTCCGCGCGCGTGTGCGTAGTGGGTGGTGGTGTGCGTGCGTGCGTGCGTGTGCGTGGTTGTGGTTGTTGTGGTGGTGGTGGTGGTGGTGTGTATGTGTGTGTGCGTGTGTGCGCGTGTGCTGTGGTGTGACGTGGTGTGGCGTCTTGGTGGTTTGGTGGTGGGCCAGGTGCGTACGTGCGTGATGGCGGTGGTGGTGGTGGCGGTGGTGTGTGTGCGTGTGTGTGTGTGTGTGTGTGTCTGTGTGTGCGTGTGTGTGCGTGTGCGTGCGTGCGTGTGTGTCTGTGTGTGCGCGCGTGTGATGTGGTGTGACGCGGTGTAGCGTGGTGGTGGTGGGTGGGGTAGTGCGGTGGTGGTGGCGGTGCGCGGTGGTGGTGCGCGTGCGTGCGTGCGTGCGTTGGTGGTGGAAGTGGCGGTGGGTGTGCGTGCGGCGGGGCGGGGCGTGGTGCGGCGCGGTGGTGGCGGGCGGATGGGCGCGCGAGAAAGAGGCCCGCGCTGGGGCGAGAACGCCATCCTGAACGACGGAGGCAAAACACCGATCCGAAAATGAGGCCCACGCTGCAGCGGGAGCACGATTCGGAACGATTCGGGAGCAGAAATGAGGCCGGCGCCTCAGCGAGAGCAGCATTTTGCAGGCGAAAACCCAACTCCCGGGAATCCTGTGTGTAAAAAACAATACGCGGGGGGGGTCGAATATTCCCAGCACGCCATCAGGGGAAGAGGGAGAGTAGTATTCATATTGAGTAATTGCGGAGGGGGGAGGGGGCATTTCGCGCGTTATGGCCCAGAGGGTTAAAAAAAAAACCCTCTTGGTCTGGTCAGGGTTTCCTGTCCCCGACGTTCGTCTGCCCCGAGGTGGGCGCGGCAGCCCTCTTCGGCCCCCCAGATGTCGCCGACCAGCTCCGGGTCCTGCTGGGCGTAGTCGGGCATCACCTCGGCAACCGCGGAGAGAGAGAGGGGCCCCGAGCGAGTTGGACCCTGGACCCCGGGGTTTCCTTCTCCTCCTCCTCCTCCTCCTCCGCCTCCTCCGCCTCCTCCTCCCCATCCTACTCCGACTCCTACTCCTACTCTTACTCCTACTCGTACTCCGACTCCTCCCCCCCGAGACTCACTTCTTGGGGGTCGCGAAACGGTGCGGTCACAGACCGTGCGGTGACCTCGGAATCCCCAAAAAGACCTCACCGCAAGGTCCGCAACCGCACTGCTGTGGGACCCTGGAGGCCCCAGTCGCCCGAGACGTCCCTCCGAGAATGGGCCGAGTCCCACAGCCGTGCGGTCACTCACCACACGGCGTGGTCGCCGCACCATTTGGGGGCCCCCGAGCTTCTCGTGACGACTCGTTCTTTGACGTCCCCGGAGCCCAGGAAAGACCGAGGGGCCGAAAACAGCGGAAAAGAACGGCTCGGGACCTCTTCCCCTCATGGATTGGCTGTTCGCCCTGAACAATTGCCATTACCGCCTCGCGGGTCCCAGGAGCGTGGTGAACAGAAGCTCCAGGGCCTGATTTCTTCTTCACGACGGGTCCAAGACTTCGTCCCCAGGTCAGGGGAAGGCCCCTGGAGGCCGAAAGAACTGCGAAGAGCCTCAAGAGCCCTTTTCCCCAGGACCCCCCTTTCCCTCTCTGGCGAATCGCCCTCCTCTGCCCCGCGGCCAGGCTTCGGGGGTCGGCGCTGGGACCCCCTCCCGTGGCGCGCGAGTCGCGCCACAAGCGCCACCAGAGGGTTCCAGCGTGGACTCCCGAAAAACGAGCTCGTGCAGGCTGCTCGATCCTTCTGCTTCGGGCGTCACCCTGCTCTGCCCCGTAGGCCGGAACGAGACGGCCACCGTGCCGCCGTCGCGGCCCGCGCAGGCGATCCACCGCTGCGAGGCGGCGCGCAGGCAGTCTGCCTCGGCGACGAGCTCGGGGCCGTGCCTGCAGCGCGCGAGCTTGCGAGGGCAAGTCGGGTTCGCGCGGTGGCGTCTTCGGCGCTGGTCTCTGACACCGCGTGGATCCGTCCACCTGAAACGATCAGCGACTGCTCGATCGCAAGGTCGTCCACACTGGCCGATGCTGGGCATGGGCCTCTGGCGGCTTTCAACCCTGAACGCCCGCGCTGGGGCCGCAGACGCGTCAACACGACACGACCCTTCCGTACACAGTGAGGTGCTCTTCCCTCTCCCAGCACAAAGGGCACCCTCACACCACCACCACCACCACCACCACCACCACTACTTAGCCAGGGCATCCTGCCATCCTAGGGCCCAGAATGGCCCCGGCCAGGCAGTGGTGGTGGTGGTGTGCAGATGCCTTCTGCAGATCTCCTCCTGGCCCCACAACTGACCCGCTCTGGAAACCCTGAATCCCCCCCAGAAGTGGCATGTCTTGAGGATGGCACCTCTCACTTTCGCTGGCTTCCGCCAGCCCTCCGCTGGCTTCCGCCAGCAGATCCGCCCTTGGTTTCTTTCCGCCGCCTTCTGCGAGCCTTCCGCCAAGTGCGAGATGTCAACCCTTCCGATGCCTCGAAAGTGATACCCTCTGAGGAGCGCCCTGACTATCACCACGGAAACCACTGAAATGAGGAGGACAGGTCAGAGGGTTCTTCGCCTCACCCATGCCCTGAGATCCGACGATGCCAAAAAATGCAACATCGTGAAAAATTGCGGCCAGAGCCCTCTAGACCAAATCTTTCTGCGGCGGCACTTTTCGAGCTGGATCGATATGTGAGTGCCCTGGGGCCCGAAGCCCGACGAAAACGTCCGGCGTGAAAAAATTGCAACCCCCAGATCTCAGGAGCCTGTTCATCATGATTCGCGATAACGCCCGTGACCGCCCTGGCCCCTCCCCGCCTCCCCCCCTCCCTGTTCACGTCACGACTGGCGCTGGCGCAGTCCGGGAATCGGCCATTCCCAGGCGGGCATACACAGACGGCGCAAGTGCGAATCGTGATGTTATCGCCCCCCCCCACCTCAGGCACGCCCGTTATCTCCAGGAGATTAAAAAACTGGCTCCACGGCCATATCAGGGCCTCCCCCCGATCCCAGACATCGGGCGTCACGATTTTTTCCAGACACGAGCCCCCGACCTCTCGACCACTTCCCTAGGACCAGTTTCCATCCCTAGCCGTTTTTTTGACGGTCCCGAGGCCTGGTAAGGCCCACCAAAGGTGAAAATGGCAAATTATCCCGGCAAAGCAACCTAACAGCGATGTGTAGAAGCATATCTGGAAGCATTCCCCTTAAGATTTAGGTGAGAATGCAGTTGTAGAATTCTGCTGTTCTCGCAGTCGCAGCCTCAGCCTGCCTCGGCTTGCCTCGGCCTCAGCCTCAGACTGCCTCGGCCTCAGCCTCAGCCTCAGCCTGCCTCAGCGTCAGCCTCAGCCTGCCTCAGCCTCAGCCTGCATCAGCCTCAGCCTCAGCCTGCCTCAGCCGCAGCTTGCATCAGCCTCAGCCACAGCCTCAGCCTCAGCCTGCCTCAGCTTCAGCCTCAGCCTCAGCCTGCCTGGGCTTGCCTCGGCCTCAGCCTCAGCCTCAGCCTCAGCCTCAGCCTGCAGCTCAGCCTCAGCCTCAGCCTCAGCCTCAGCCTCAGCCTGCCTCAGCCTCAGCCTCAGCCTCAGCCTCAGCCTCAGCCCTCAGCCTCAGCCTCATCAGCCTCAGCCTCAGGCCTCAGCCTCAGCCTCAGCCTCAGCCTCAGCCTCAGCCTCAGCCTCAGCCTCAGCCTCAGCCTCACAGCCTCAGCCCTCAGCCTCAGCCTCAAGCCTCAGCCTGCCTCAGCCTCAGCCTCACAGCCTCGCCTCAGCCTCAGCTCAGCCTCGGCCTCAGCCTCAGCCTGCCTCGGCCTCAGCCTCAGCCTCAGCCTGCCTCAGCCTCAGCCTCAGCCTGCCTCAGCCTCAGCCTGCATCAGCCTCAGCCTCAGCCTGCCTCAGCCGCAGCTTGCCTCAGCCTCAGCCACAGCCTCAGCCTCAGCCTGCCTCAGCTTCAGCCTCAGCCTCAGCCTGCCTCGGCTTGCCTCAGCCTCAGCCTCAGCCTGCCTCGGCATCAGCCTCAGCCTCAGCCTGCCTCAGCCTCAGCGTCAGCCTCTCAGCCTCAGCCTGCATCAGCCTCAGCCTCAGCCTCAGCCTGCCTCAGGCTCAGTCTCAGCCTGCCTCAGCCTCAGCCTGCCTCAGCCTCAGCCTCACAGTTGGCTCCGGGCAATCAAACTGTAGCCTGGGAATGGTGTTCTGGGAACACGAAGAACACGAAGTGGCCTACAGTTGGCTCCGGGCGTTCAAAATGTGGCCCGGGAATGGTGTTCTGGGAACACGAAGAACACGAAGTGGCCTACAGTTGGCTCCGGGCATTCAAAATCATACCCAGGAATGGAGTTCTGGGAACTCGAACAACACGAAGTGGCCTACAGTTGGCTCCAGGCATTCAAAATGTGGCCCGGGAATTGTGTTCTGGGAACACAAAGAACACGAAGTGGCCTACAGTTGGCTCCGGGCATTCAAAATCATGCCCAGGAATGGAGTTCTGGGAACTCGAAGACCACGAAGTGTGTTACTGTTTGCTTAAAACGAATTCCATCCCCCCGGCATCCTCCCCCAGATCGCGCCCAGACCCCCCTGGGGCGTCATGATTCTCTCTTTTGACCCTACTAGAAACCTATCAGTTTTCGCTGTTAGGTAAAAACGTCCGCCATGATTTGTTCACGACGCGAGGGGTTCTGGATCTCAGGGCTTCCCCCCCTCCTGCCAGGGAGGGTGGGACGGGGGGGGGGCTCCGTGCAAGGCGGGGAGTCATCCGTACCCACCGCCTGGGAACCGACGCCCTGGGGACCCAGCGGATCGTGGATATGCACATGTCGGGCGCCGAACTATGTCCGGACTACTTACCAGACCACCCCAACCCGACCCGAAGACCCGAATTTCGGGTTGGGGGGGGGGGGGGGGGGGCTCCGTACGTGCTTTTTCGATGTTCCCCGACCCCCCCCCACCCCACACACTGGAGATATGGAGGGCAGATGGAGGCCTTCGGGGGTTGGGCTGGGGTGGTCTGGTGGGTGGTGATGTCCACAGCCACCGCCCCTGCGGAGGTCCGCAAGAAATCGATCCTCGAGGCGGTGGTCGTGCACAGATCAGGGCTCGAGCTAAACGGTGTTTTGGCAATTTCGTGGACCGTTTTCGTTTTGACTTCGTTTTGCAGCAAGTGTGGAACGAGGGCAGAACTAGGGATGACGAAAACAAAACGAAAACGGAAAACACTGTTTAACTCGAGCCCTGGCACAGATCCCATCGAAAACCCTGGGCCACGCTCGGGCGCCGCCCGGCAGAAGGGGGCCCATACGCCCGAGTGTCATGACTGTTGTCGCAACGCGTCGACCCCCAGAGGTCTCGCGATTTATTTGAAGGAGCCCCGGGACACACAAAGAAGTACACACACAGATAACAGGGTTCCCCATACTTCCCTATATTTTCTGGGTTTCTGTCTTCCCCCACACTTCCCATATTTTCCCATATTTTCTGGGGAATCGACGATTAATTCTGTCTGTGTTTGTTTTCCCTCCTGAGTAACGTCGACCCCCAGAGGTCTCGACCTATTCCCTGGGACAGGCTTTTGCATCCCCAATCGTTCTTGGACGGCCCTGGGACCTGGCGAGGGCCCACAGAAAGACCGAAAGCAGCCAAAAAAATTCACCCGCCGTGCGCTTTGTCCACGACCCACAGAGCGGGCCTGGGGAGGGGGGGGCGCGGGTCAGGGGGGGGCCCGGGGCCACGCTCGGGCGCCGCAGGCCACCGCCGGCGCCGCGCCTCCACACGGCCAGCTCGGCGGCCTGCGCGCCGGCGGCGGGCGCGCAGCGGCGCTCCGCGAGCCAGCAGCCCGCCTCTGGGCGGCGCGGGGGCCGCGGCGGGGGGGGGCTCCTTCTTATGGACGACGACGACGTCGTCGACGACGACGACGACGACTGCTACGTCAGAGGTTGGCCATGGGAGCGGGCTCCCGCGTGCGGGGCGGGTTCCCAGACATCCGGCTTCTCGAAAAGATCGAAAAGGCTACTCATAGTTTTCGGCCTATCGGGGCCCTTACTGGGCATCGGGACCGTCAGAAAGCGACTCGGGATGAAAAACCGGTACCAGGTAAGTGGTCGAGGGGTCGGGGGCCCGCGTCTCGATGTCAGGGATAAGAGACTCTGCCCACCTGGGCGACGAAAAGATATAGGCCTTACGCGAGATGGCATAGCGACCTTTACGCGGTGGCCAACGCGGGCCGCCAGCGTGGCATATCGCGTGGAGAAGAAGGCGCTTACGCGCGGCCTCACGCGGGCAGGTTACGCGCCAATGTCGGTGAAGACGACCCCGTTTCTTCTGCCGCTCACCTGGAAACCGTGAGGTCTGCGCGTTCTATTTTTGAAATTTAGCATTTACGCCAGGCTTCAGACGCTTACGATAGCATTAGACAAAAGTAGAATACTGCTTTTGCGAATTATCCGCTTCGTACGAATTCCACCGTACTTCGTCTTCACTCATGTTAGCCAGCGTGGGTCCTGAACGGTATGTTTCTAGCCACATGTGTTGTGCAGTGCATGTGGAGCAATATACGTAGTGCAATCCACGTGGTGCAATCTAGGTTGTGTAAACTACGTGGTGCAACATATGTTGTGCAATATGTATGGTGCACTCCAGATGGTGCAATCTACGTGGTGCAATATATGTTGTGCAACCCATGTGGCGCAGTCCAGGTTGTGCACTCTACGTGGTGCAATCAATATGGTGCAATCTATGATGTGCAATATAAGTGCTGCAGGCTACGAGGCGGCAACGAGGCAGCGACGGGGCGGCGACGGCGGCAACATAGCTGCTAGACTGGCAACCAGGCCCAGACGACGGGCGGTGACAAAGCGACGAGGGAGCGGAGACGTTGACAACGTAGCCGCCAGACCGACCCCCACACCTAGTACCTGCGAAAAGAAATCGGAACCTCCAAGTGCAAGCACTGTCATCGATCACCATAGTTTCCTCCTCCTCCTACTCCTCCTCCTCCTCCTCCTCTTCCTCCTCCTCCTCCTCCTCCTCCTCCTCTGGGGGAGTCTCGCCTCCACGGCTGGATCCGCCTCGAAATCATGGTCAGAACGCGCTGCGGGCCAGGTCTGGGGGGGCGACTTCGAAGAAAAATCGCTTTGGCGAGGGGGGCGGCTGCTTCTTCTTACTCCTGAGCCTCCAGAAGCCCGCTCGAGGCCCCCAAGGGACCATCAAAACGCGGCCCGCGACGGCAGAAGCGCTCCGGGGGCTGGGGTCTGGGATCTCTGGGGCCCACGCCTTGACATAATCAAATAACAAAGCCCCCCTGGTGGAAACGAGTCCTGGGCTCAGGGCCCCCCCCCCCAAGGACCAGCGTTCCACACCAGGAAGGTTCTGTTGACCGCACTGGGGCCCATGGAGGGCCCCGAACGGCAGAAAGCGACGAGAAGACCCCAAAAAGCGTTAACGAGGCACGCGCAGCGGTATCCGTACCTTTGCCGCCTCTGATGACTCTCTGTCGCGCGGCCCCAAAACTGACACACCACAACCCATGTCCGCGCGCCACCCACCACTTCCGCCACCGCGTGGACCAATGGGCCGTGCATGAAAGGAGGAGGCTCGGCCAATACGTCCGGGAAACGTGTGGCTGCAGAGGACGAGCCGCTGCAGAACGTCAACAGGGCAGAAGGAAGATGGGGAAACCGAAAGGTACCGATACCGCTACTCCCGGGACCTCACCTGGGGTGCGTTCTGACCAGGATTTCGAGGCGAATCCAGCGGCGGCGACGACGGAGGCCCAGGAGGCCCAAAAAGAGGAAAACGAGGGGAGGGCAGAGGGTAGAGGTATGGGTACCTTTCCCTCCTCCGAGAAGAGGAAGAAAGGAAGAAGGCCGTCAGGAGAGAGGCGACGACGACGAGGCGACCCCGTGCGCGCCGCGAGCCGCCTCGGCGCGGCCCCACCAGTGACGGCGCACGCGCGCCTCCAGCAGCGGCCGCCCCGCCGCGTCCAGCAGCAGGCAGAGCCCCAGCGCCGGCAGCAGCAGGGCCGCCACGGCCGCGGCGCGCGGCCACGCGGGCCGGCACCACGGCTCGCGGGCCCATCCTGGCCTACACGGGGCCCGCATGTCGAGGCGCCGATGGCCACTCGGAGGGAGGAGGGGGGGCAGAGGGAGGGGGAGGGGGAGGGCGACGGGAGGGGAGGCGAGGAGGGGGAGGGGGAGGGGGAGGGGAGGGGAGGAGGGAGGGAGTTTCCGAACGTTCTCGCCGATTCCTGCCAGCTTTCCTGCCTCGGAGTGCGCTTCGGCAGCTGCGCCTCGCGGAAAGGCGTCCAGGGGTGTCCGGATCGTCCCGAACGGCCGCTGCAAACCCGAATTATGGATGGAAAATCGACGGGGGTCAAGGAGGAAGACAGTGGGAGAAGGAGCAGGAGAGGAGGGAGGGGAGGGGAGGGGAGGCTTGCTGGTCTGCATACTTACTCGCTCGTGCATGTTAGTGTGTTTGTGCTAGCTTGCATGCGTGTTTGCGCTGCCGCTTGGTTGCATGATTGCTGCAAGCACGTGCGTGCGCGCGTGATTGTTTGCATGGTCCGCGTGCTTGTCATGATTGCGTTCATGCTTGCCCGCTTGATTGCTTCCCTGCTTGCCTGCCTGTTTGCGTGCTTGCGTGCTTGATCCCTTGCGCGCGTGCGTCGTTCCTCGAATGATTGTATAACGCGTGCATGTTCGCATGCCTGCTTGACTGCGTGCACGCTTGTTTGCATGCGCGCGTGCATGCATACGTGAGTGTCTGCATGCTAACCTGCTAGCACACATGCTTGCTTGCGTGATAGCTTGCCTGTTTGCTTGTGTGATGGATTCGTCGCCTCCACGCGTGCGTGCGACCAGGGCGGGGCAGAGGCAGGCCAGCGCGGGGCATGCCAGGCCAGCGCAGCGCAGGGCGGGGCGGGGCAGCGCAGGGCATAGCAGAGCGGCTGGGCAGGCGGGGCGGGACGGGGCAAGGCGGCGCAGAACATGGCCCGGCAAGGCATGAGGAAAGAAGGGCAGAACGGGGCGGGGCAAGGCATGGCAGTGCGGGCGAGGGCCCACGGCAAGGCAGAGCAGGGCATCGGAGGGCAGGGCGGGGCGAAGCGCGTCATGGCAGCAGGGCAGAGCATGTCATGCCAGGGCGAGGCAGGTCAGGGCAGGGCGGCGCCAGGAAGGGCACTGTGGGCCAGGGCAGAGGGAGGCAGGGCAGGGCAGGGCATACCAGGCCCAGTTCAGGATAGGGTAGGCAGGGCAAGGCAGGGCGGAGCAAGGCAAGGCACTGCCGCGCAGGACAACGCAGAGCTGGGCAAGGTAGCTCACCGCATGGCAGAGCAGGGTAACGCAAGGCAGGGTAGGGAAGTACAGGCAGGGTAAGGCATGACAGGGCATGTCATGGCAGGGCAAGTCACGGCAGCGGGGGGGCGCAGGGCGAAAAAGGATAGGACAGGGCAAGGGCAGGGCAGGGCATGGCAGGGCAGCGCAGGGCATGGCAAAGCGGGGCAAGTCAGGACAGGGCAGGTCGCTGCAGGGCAGAACAGGGTTCCAGCAAGGCGGAGCAGGATAGGGCAGGGAAAGGACGGGGGCAGGGCCGCAGCGTGCAAGATAGACCAACACAAGGCAGGGCAAGGCAAGGCAGGACGAGGCAAGGGAGGGCTGCGCACGGCAGCGCATGGCGCGGCAGAGCAAGGCAGCGGCGGGTAATGCAGGGCAGGGCAGCGCAAGGCGGGGCAGCACAATCGTGCGCAAGGCAGGGCAGGGCAAGGCAACGCAGTGCAGAGGCAGTGCGAAGGCAGGGCGAGCGCACTGTAAGTGCAACGAGGGAGCATGGCAAAGGCAATGTCAACAGGCAAGGCAAGGCACGAGGAAGGCAGTGTAACGCGGGGCGGGGCGGGGCAGGGCAGGCACGGCTCCGTCTCTCCGTATTGTCCCTCCTCAACAAATCAAGAAAACCCTCCCCGTTGGACCACGAGGCGCGTCGACGCGCCAGTATAGCGGGCCAAGCGTTTCGCCGAGGACTTCCTCACCACTGCTGACCTGAAACTTGACATGTTCAGCAGGAGGGCGGCTGGGTCTCGCCATGTGGATCTCGTCATGGCACCGCAGACCTTCGCCTCAAAGGTTCCGAACACTTCCACAGATGGAGACGGCTGGTTTTGAGAATGGGGATATCGCTGGAGACCTCTTCCAAATCCAACATCAGCTGTCTCGGCATTTGGAATGACTACACGGGTGAAGGCGGTTCCATCTAAACGCAAGGCTATTGCTTGAGATTCGATGCGAGCGTATCGTCCGACACTCTTGCATACAAATATACATGCATGCACGCATGCATATTTCCATGCATCTACAACAGCACAACAATGACACGAATGGGTGCGGATCCGTTTCAAAAAAAAAACGCTTGAATGACAGTCTCATTCGGACTCTCGTCTCTAAAGGGCGGAATCCCGATTCAAAAAAAGGAATGCCCGTCGGGCCTTGTGAGTAAGGCACGTGGGACGGGGGGGGATAGCAGCATCGCTGGTGCACCCTGGGTTTACCCTGGACCTTTCGAGCCTTTCGAAAGCAGCCATGTACCTCCGCGCGGAGGCGCGGCCGTTGCGGTCATTGCCGCTGCGGCGGCGCGCGGCGGGCCCGCCGCGCCCGCACACGGGGGGACCCCAGGAGAGGCCTCCAGGGGCCAAAACAAAAAGCGTCACTCTGGACCTCCTCCTCCTCCCCGTCCTCCCAGACCTGCCCTACTCATGGCCTGATTCCAGAAAGCATCTGGAGCGTGCGCCACCAGATACACTTTCCCAGGGGCGGGCTCTCTTTGCTTCCGACGTCAGCTTCCGCCCCTGGGCCGAACCCTCTGCTTGAGATTCGCGCAAGCAGGGCTCCTAGGTCTATCTCGCGAAGAACCCATGCTGCAAAGTCCGTGTCGTGAGCCGGTGCTGCCCGACCAAAACATCAGCTCTGATAATCTGGAGGCCCCGCCACCCACTGTCCGAGAACTCCGAACTTGTCAAGCACTGGGTCGCCAGCCATGAGAACGCGTGTCGGGCAACTGGTTTCAAACAGCAGTGTCGCGACCAACTCCGACACTCCCGCCCCGCACGCCCGAAAGAAGAGATGCCAAGAGATGAGGATGGAGGAGCAAAGCAGGGGGCAGACGGGGAGGAGGATCCAGGGTTAGAAGATTGAGGGCCGAGGTGATGGACGAGGAAGGGTTCGATGATCGAGGGTCGATGGCTCGAGGATCGAGGGTCGAGGGGGCGGGGAGTAAAAACATGTTTTTGACGTTGGTACTCTCGCCCCCGAAGCTGCGATAGGCGGCGGCGCTTCCCACCCCGCAAGGCGGGGGCGCGGCGCGGCGTTGCGGGAAGCCTGTCGCCAGCGGCGGCCTGGGCGGAAGGACGACAGAGGCGAAGAGCACACGGTCACGGGACCGACAGTAGAAAACAATAGCGGGAGCAGCTGCAGCAGCAAAAGAAGCAGCAATGCTGGTTGTCGTAGTCGTAGCCGTGGTCGTAGTAGCGGGAGTAGTCGGCTACACTCAAGAGTGAACCTAGGGAAGAGAGACCTTTGGTGCGCGGCTTAACGGGGGACGCGGGGTGGTCAAACCGAGGTGCGCAAGCCGCTGCTGACGCTTCGCGCGCGTTCAGCGATCGGGGGGCCCCGCACCAAAGGTCACTCTGGCGAAAGGTCACTCTTACCTCTAGTCGATAGTAGCAGCAACAGCAATAGCAGTAGGGTGGCAGGAAGCGTATTCAGCAGACCAGCTGGCATGCTGGCCACCCGCAGCTCCAAGGCTGGGGTGCCTGTGCTCTCTCTCTCTCTCTCTCTCTCTGCTCCTCCCGCTACCCGATCTCCCTCACGGACCATCTCCAAAGTCAGGGCCCCCTGCCATCCACCAATAGCTCCAGTCCTCAACCAGTTTCTTCTCCCCTTCTCTCTCCTGCGCTCCCTTTCCCTCTGTCCCCTCCCACGGCCCAGCCACCAGGTAAAGGTCTCCTTCGATCCACCTCCCGCTTTTCTACCCCGCTATAGGTGTGTGTATAGATGATCAAAATAAGCTTGCCTACAGTCTTTCTTTGTAGAACTGGTCCACTGCTTTCCCTCCCACTTTTTCGCGTCGAACTATGGCAATGGCTTCCTCTATTGGAATGACGTCCTCTTCTATTGAATGGCTTCCTGTGGCTATTCCAACGGCAACCAATGAGCATCAAATTCAGAAGTCGGGTAGCGTAGAATAGATTAGAGCAGAGTGGAGTATAGTGGAGAAGAGAAGAGTACATGATTAGAGTAGAGCGGAACATACCAGAGTGAAGCAGAGTCGAGTAGAACAGAGTAAAGCAGAGTAGGGTAGAGTAAAGCAGAAAAGAGTAGAGGAGAGCAGAGTAGGGTAGAGTAAAGTAGGCTAGGGTAGGGCAGGGTAGAGTAGAGCAGAGTAGGGCAGAGTACAGCAGAGTAGAGTAGGGTCGATGATAAAGCAAATCGAGGAGAGGAGAGGAGAGAGGGGGAGAGTATAGTTGCAGAGGAGAGGCGAGGAGAGGAGAGGAGAGGAGAGGAGAGGAGAGGAGGAGAGAGGAGAGGAGAGAGGAGGAGAGGAGGAGGGGAGGGGAGGGGAGGGGAGGGGAGAGGCGAGGAGAGGAGAGGAGAGGAGGAGGAGAGAGAGAGGAGAGGAGAGGAGAGGAGAGAGAGAGAGGAGGGGAGAGGAGAGGGATAGGAAGGAGAGGAGAGGAGGAGAGGAGAGGAGAGGAGAGGAGAGGAGAGGGAGGAGGAGGAGGAGAGGAGCGAGAGGAGAGAGAGAGGAGAGGAGAGGAGAGGAGAGGAGAGGAGAGAGAGAGGAGAGGAGAGGAGAGGAGAGGAGAGGAGAGGAGAGGAGAGGAGAGGAGAGGAGAGGAGAGGAGAGGAGAGGAGAGGAGAGGAGAGGAGAGGAGGGGCAAGCTATGTGCGCTCGCGTCATATCTGACATCCTACCCCTCCCTCTCATCCCTTACCATGGCGTAGATCTCCCCTCTATTCGCACAGTCCGATGTCGAGCAGGGCAATGATCCCGAGAGTGTGCGCGATGCATCGTAGAGCAAGGCAAATTAGGGCGTAGGAGAGCACGGCAGAGCGTAGCATGTCAGAGCATAGCGTGGCGTTTCGTAATGAAGAATTGCATCACAAAGCATTGCAACGCAAAGAATGGCAGCGCACAGCGGCACAGAAAACAACGTGGCAGAGCATGGCGTTGAAGATCAAAGCGTAGCATGGCATAGCATGGCGTGGCAATGCGAAGTCAAGCACTGCATATCCTAGCATTGCAGCTGAAGTCGTGGCATCGCACAGCGGAACACTACATAGCTTTGCATTGCATGCCGTGGCATGGCACTGGAAATAATGACGCCAGCGCTGCAGCGGGAGCACGATTCGGAACGAGCGGAAGCGCGGAAATCAGGCCAGCGCTGCAGCGGGAGCGCGATTCGGAACGAGCGGAAGCGCGGCAATGAGGCCAGCGCTGCAGCGGGAGCACGATTCGGAACGAGCGGAGGCCTGAAAATGAGGCCAGCGCTTCAGTGGGAGCAGCATATTGAAAAAAAACAGCAATAAGCCAACTCCCGCGAATCCTGTGTGTAAGAAAACAATACGCGGAGGGGGGCCGACCCCTCCCACAACATCAGAATCAAATGCGGCCTGGTTTGGCACTGGGCTTGGAACGCGCTCCCATTTCGCAAACGGAAGGCGCTCGCGAGGTGCCGCTGCCGACGACATTGGCGAATAAAAAATACGCGGGCCGCGCCAAAGCTTCCGATGCGCGCCGAAAAGTCCTCTAAGATTTCTCCTTGACGGCCTATGAGGCTTCCCCAAGACGGCCCCAAACGGGCCCTCCAACTGCCATTTGAAGTCCTCACCCCCAAGATGGCACCCGAGACCGCCAGCAGGCCCCCAAGAGGCGCCCGAGAGCCCCCAAAGGCACCCAGCAGACACCCAAAGACCCCCACGACGCCCCGAAGAGGCACCCAAGAGGTCCTCAGGAGGCCACCAACAAAACCCAAGGGGCTTCTGAGAGGCCTCTTGCCCACCACCCAGACACGGTGGCGTCATCTGCCGACAGCCACAAGACCCAAATATAAATGACACCGGAGAAAAACCCAATCAGAATTTATTCGGGGCTATAGGGCTATTGGGCTATAGGGCTATAAGGCTACTATAGGGCTATAGGGCTATAGGGCTATAGGGCGATAGGGATATAGGGCTATGAGGCTATAGGGCTACAGGGCACCGGGCACCCGGACACCCGGCACCCGGGCACCCAGCACCAAGCACCCAGGCACCCGGGCACCGGGGCACCCGGGCATCCGGGCACCTGGGCCCGGCCACCGATTCGGCGGCACACCCGGACACCCGGGCACCCGGGCATCCGGGCACCCGGGCACCCGGGCCCGGCCACCGATTCGGCGGCGAACCCGGGCACCCGGGCACCCGGGCACCCGGGCACCCGGGCCCGGCCACCGAATCGGCGGCACACCTCACCTACCCTTAAATCCGCTAGGACCCACAGAGGCAAGCTCTGATTGGGGAATGATAGCAGCGCTACTCTTCATAATCATGTGAAACGTATGCCCCTCTTGCTACTGGCGCGCACCGCGCTGCCAGCGTAGTTGCCAGGAAACTGATTCTCAGCCCCAAGCCCCAGATCAGCCCAGCCAGCCACCCCCAAGTCAGACGGCCTCGGATGCCCTTGAAAGCCTCATCCGCAGCCAGCCCAAACAGGGCGGCCAGTCAAACCAGCCCAGCCAGCTTGTCTGACCATCCTGATCCCAGTTGCTTGCCAGTGCGTCATATGCGTCAGCGGCGAAGCCTGCATAATGTAGTACTGAGTCCGCAGACCATGTGAATGAAGATAACAAAGGCGTTTCTGGGATCATGGTAGGAAGCCGGTAGCCTTGAGCAGAATCAGAATCAGAAGCCTGTGCCGTTATAAATGCTGCCATACGCTACCTTACCCTACGCTGACCTACCCTACTTCAGCGCGCCTCGACACGGTACACCGATGATGCACATCCTGGAATCATCACACATCTGGGCTTGGGACCGACGCCAGGCTCAGACAAATGCTCGGCGCACGCGTGAAGGCCTAGCACCGAACGCGCCACGGAACTCGGTGGCCAAAGGCCCGTCGGCAAATGCGTGCGTGTTGCACGGCGGAGTACAGTAGGCACACACTCATTCTATAGATATATACATATATATATCTATACATATACATAGATTGAACAAAAAAGTGCCCCGGGGCTCTGCGGGCTCGCCAGGAGGTAAGAAAGCATCGTGGGGCACCTCTTGGCAGGCTGGGTTCTTGTTTGGTGGGCCCACCGTACTCCGACAGCAGCACCTCGGGAAGGATCGAGCGGCTCGGGGTTATCTCCGCAGCGCCTGGTCGGCGGCACCACCGCCAGCCAAGTTGCCGCCGTCGGCGTCGACCAGGCTCTGGGAGCCTGTCGCCAGATGGGCCAGAAAAGTGGGTGTAGAGCCCCAGTGCGCAAGACGAGGCAGAGCGAGGACGGCGACCTTCTGATAGATATTCCTGATAAACTGATGCATCTGATCTGGTATTTGCGAAAGATATCTCACTGGGCCAGGACGCTTGAAGCCATGGCGGCAGGTAAGAGCAATTATGGAAAAATATTCGGGAACCACTAATTCCTGGCAGGATCGTGCTTGAGATACTGGCTGGAACTCTCCATTACAGAGCAGACCACACAAGAACAAAGAGGACTAGAACAGACTAGAGCATGACAGACCAGAAAAGAACACATCCGAACAGAAATCATTAAAGCCGCACAGAACAGCCAATGGTGACATGATGTTGTGCGTCTGCACCGCCTACCACCAAATCTGAATCCCACCAGCCCTCTGGGCGCAGGTGGTCTAGAGCTTTTCCTTTTCCAACCTCCTTCTTTCCCTGCTCGGGAGCTTTACCTCCACCCCCCTCCCTGGGTCTGGAGGGCCGAAGGATTAGAGCGTCCAAGATGGCCCAAGATAGCTCCAAAAGGGTTTTAGATAGCCCAAGATGGCCTCCAAGATAACCTAAGATACTTCGAGATGGCTCAAGATAGCCTCCGACACGCATCCAAGAGGCCCCAATACGGCCCCAAGACGGTTTCAAGTGCCCTCCGAGCCCTCCAATGACCCCCCCCCAAGAGGCCAAAATGGGTTCGAAGCCTAAGGAAAAACTATGGTTTGTGCCGCGCTGATGTTGTTCGCTTCCGATGGGCTCTTGAGACGTCAAGATGGCCCCAAGATGGCCCAGCATAGCCCCAAAAGAGGCCCGAGAGGGCCCCAAGACGGCCCCGAGAGCGCCCCAAGAGCGGTCCAAGAGGGCCCCAAGTCGCCCCTTTTGGGCCTCCGAGGGGGGACCTGAATTTAAGACCCCCCCTCTTTCTGAGCGAAAGGGTCTAAGACGGCCCCAAGAGGCCTCCCAGACCCCCCCAAAGAGCCCCTAAGAGGGCTCCAAGACCCCTCAAAAAAGCCCCAAGAAAGTCCCAAGAAGGCCCCCAGAGGACCCCAGAGGACCCCAAGAGGACCCCAAGATGGCGCCCAAATGGCATCACGAGTCTTCGAAGAACCCCTCACCGCGACATATGCCCAAAGCCCGACTTCTCGTCCTCCTTGTCATCGTCCGTTCCTTCATTGCTTCTTTCCTGCCGCCTCCCTGCTCCTCTTCATCCTCCTCGCGCCGCGTTCCTCCTGCTTCTCCTCCTCCTCCTTCCCCTCCGTTTCTGTTTTTCCTCCTCCTCCTCCTCCTCCTCCTCCTCCTCCTCCTCCTCCTCCTCCTCTTCCTCTTCCTCCTCCTCCTCCTCCTCCTCCTCCTCCTCCTCCTCCTCCTCCTCCTCCTAGTCCTACTCCTACTCCTACTCCTACTCCTACTCCTACTCCTACTCCTACTCCTACTCCTACTCCTACTCCTACTCCTACTCCTCCTCTTACCCGCAAGATGGCCCCAGGCATCACCAGCACCAGCAGCACCACTTGCTCCAAGATGGCTCCAAGAGGGCAACAGACCACCACAAGCAGCAACACCAGCAGCAACACCACCACCGCCACCACCACCACCACCACCATCACCAGCAGCCGCACGCGAGTTTAAGATAGACTTCAGTGCGGGGGCAAAGGTCAAGGATGCATATGGGGATGCGACTCTCAACTGTGAGTCAAGGGCGACGAATGAAAGATACAGTCACCTGCGCCAGAGACGCTTACCACAGGGAACACCCCGGCGTATCTTGCACTGGCTTCCATCTTAAACTTCGCTGCGGGAAGCTATGTGAGATCCTTGTGACTCATGGCCCAGGGTGGATACAGCCACCTGCGCTAGAGACGCTTACCACGGGGAGCACTACGTCGTATCTTGCACTGATTGCCACCGTAAACTTCAATGCGGGAAGCTATTTGCGATCCTTGCTTCGATTCCCTTCAAACTGAAGACGGCCGCGCAACTGCATGCTTCCAGCCGTCCCTGATTCACCAACTCCCCTGCTGATCGTTTCTGGATAGTGGGGATACTTTTTTCGGTTGCGTCCACCAGCGAAGGCGCTAGCGGAGTCAGAAAGGCTCCGGGACACGGTAGCGGCCTAATTAGCTGCCAAACGCGCCGCAGGCCGGCCGGCCCATTCACCAAGCAGCGGCAGGCTGCGCGGGAGAGCTGGCAAGCTAAGGGCGTCCAGGGAAGCTCAGGCACTTGCAGCCCAGCAAAATGCTAGGGAATTAGAGGTGCACCGTGAGGCAAGGCCCGCTCGAAGCACGAGGACGAGTGCGGCGATGACTGCGTGTCCAACATGCCGGTAGGGCGCCCAAGGGTAGTAAGCGATGGGCGAGTCGCCAGTGGGGCGCCAAGCCCAGGTCGCGCCAACGGCGTCAGCGAGCCCGGTGAGCTGCGCTGCCGAGGAACGTCGCAAATCAGCCTGAAAGGTGGGAGAGGGCCCGGGGGAGCGGCCGCGGCTGCGAAGGCTGAACCACTCGAGAGCGGCACAAGCTCCAAGGTCCACCATCCCGTGTACCACGGGGAAGGCCCCGAGCTCCAGGGGGCCGACCCTCCATCAGCTGCGCGATGGTCGCCGACTGATGCACTGCGTGAGAGAAGCCAGGCCGGCGGGGATGAACATCGCCAGCGAGGCAGGGGAATCCAGGGTAGAGCTGCACGACAGCCGCCCGCATTAGGGAAGGGCGGCCACCGTCGAGGCACAGCCTTACCCGTCGTAACTGCCATTCCCCGCGGGGATCCAGGGTCGCAGCTAACCGCCGAAATGAGTGAGGTAACGTTACCGCCATCAGCGCGGGGTCCTGGTCAGCCCCGGGGTGAGGGGACGATCACCCCTCGATCCAGGGGTCTGCGAGCCTGGCAGCTGCCCAGCCCGGGAGAGACCCGAGGGGAGGGACGGTGGGGACAGACATCACGGGCCCTCCACGCCGAGGGGCTCCCCAGGGACACCTGGCGAGAGAGGGGGATAGTGGGGATACGCGGAGCGTCAAGAATTTCTCGAATGTTCGTCTGACATGCATGGTGATTCCCACCATTGCCTCTCTGCGTCGGCGCTACCTGAAGGCAGGGCTGCAAAACAAGCGCAGGTGCCGTTAGTGCTGCTGCTGCTTGTGCTGCTGCTGCTGGTGCTACTGCTGCTGGTGCTACTGCTGCCCCTTCTCGGCCCAACATCTCGCTCTGCCCCTCCCCAATCGCAACAGCAACGGGAGCAAGCACGGCGGCTGCAGCACGGGCGTGCTGACGGCACAGGCCCAGGCCCTGCGCCTTGCAGACCGAGCATGCAGGGGTCCTGCCGCGCGCAGGCCGGGCGAGCACCCGAAAGCGCAGAGGGGGGGGGGCGGAGGGTCGGGAGGGCGAGGAGCAGGGGGGTGCACCGCGGAGAGGCGCAAACCAGAGGGGCGCACGTCGGCACGCCCCCGCCCGACGTCGCGACAAAAAGAGGCAACATCATCAACAAAAGCACGACCGGAGCCCTCGACCCCATCTTTCTGCAGCACTGCTCGGACCCGACCGCTCTGCGAGGGCCCCGAGGCGCCACAAGCCAGCTGAAAACGCATGGCGCGAAAAGACTGCGACGCCAGGGTCTCAGGGGCCCTGCAGGACGGATCCGGGAATTGATTTTGAACGGATTTCGGTCGTCGGCCGTCGGCGGTCGTCGTCCGTCGTGGTCATCGGTCGTCATTGTCGTCGTCGTTCGTCGTCGTCGCTCGTCATCGTCGATGTAAACGTCGCTCGTCGTCGTCGTCGTTCGTCGTCGCTTGCGTCGTCTTCGTTCTCGTTCAGCGTTGTCGTTGTCGCAGTCGGCGTCGCAGTCGGCGTCATCGTTCATCGTCGTCCTCGTCGTCGTTTGTCGTCGTCGTCGTTCGTCATCATCGCTCGTCATCGTCGTCGTAATCGTCACTCGACGTCGTCGTCGTTCGTCGTCGTTGTCGGTCGTCGTCGTCGTTCGTCCAAAACTCAACGGGGAATCTAAAGCTGATTCGTTCATTACTCGCGATAACGATCAACGTCGGGCGTGGTCGTCGTCGTCCCTCGTCCTCGTCATCGATGTTCGTCGTCGTTTGCCGTCGGCATCGTCATGGGCATCGCTTGTCGTCGTCGTTCGTCGTCATCGTCGACGTCGTCCTCGTCATCATCGTCGTTCGACGTCGTCATTGGCCGCCGTCGTCGTCATTGTCATCGTCGTTCGTCGTCGTACTTCGTCGTCGTCGTGGTTCGTCGTCGTCATCGTTTGTCGTCGTCGTCGTCATCATTAGTCGCAGTTGTCGTTCGTCGTCGTCGTCGACGTCGTCCTCGTCATCATCGTCGATCGTCGTCGTCGTTGGCCGCCGTCGTCGTCGTCGTCGTCGTCGTCGTCGTTCGTTGTTGTCGTCGTCGATCGTAGGTCTTCGTGGTTCGTCGTCGTCATCGTTCGTCGTCATCGTCCGCCGTCGTCGTCGCCGTCGTCATTGGTCGTCGTCGATCGTGGTTGTCATTCGTCATCGTCGTCGTTGTCGTCGTTCGTCGTCATTCGTCGTCATCGTTCAGCGTCATCGTCGCTCGTCGTCGTCGTCGTCATTATCGTCGTCGTTCGAGGTCAATCGTCGTCGTTTGTCGTCGTCGTCGTCGTCGACATGGTTCGTCGTCATCATCGGCGGCGTCGTCGTCTTCGTTCGGCGGCGACATCGTGCTCGCCATTCGTCGTCGTCATGTTCGTCGTCGTGGACAGAAGTCGTTACTTTTTGTTTGCCGTCGCCGTGGTCGCCGTGGTTCGTCGTCATCGTTGTCGTCTTCGTGTTCGTCGTCGCTCGTCGTCGTCGTTGGTCGTCGTCGCTCGTCCTCGTCGTCGTTGTCGTCACCGTCGTCGTCATAGGTCGTCGTCGTTTGTCGTCGTCGTCGTCCGTCGTCGTCGTCGAAGGTCGTCCTCGTCGTTCGCCGTCAGCATCGTCGATCGTCTTTGTCGTCATCGTTCGTTGT